GGGGGGGGGGGGGGGGGGGAGAAGAGAGAAGAAAAAAATATTTTTTAGTAAAATGTTTAGAGTAAATATTGCAGATGTACACTCATTAGCAAAAAGTTATCTAAACCGGTTGCCTGAAAATTAAAGAAATTATTTAAAAAGTGAAATTTCTCCAATCCTTTACGATTTAAGACTACAAAGCAAATCTACTCCTGTGCTGCGTATTTTAACAAATCATTAATTATGCTGAGAATAAAATCTCAAGACAGTTCTTAAAGTTGTATGATTTTAGCAACGCCAGTTCAGAAGGTTTGCTGTGTTAAGGAAAAATAGCTGTGAACAGAGGTTGAACAGAATTTAGTTCACTCCTTCAATGCCTCCCACTGCCAGATTTCTAAAAGAATCCCTCTGAAATGCTGCATAGCTGGACAGCATACTACAAGTCAGAACTTGCTCTTTTACCAGTCGAATTGTAACTCCTTGTCATAAAACCACAGTTCTTTAGATTTTTGCTTGAATAAAGTATACTGCTTTATCCTAAAGATTTTCAGACAAATTCTATACAGACACATGAAATAAATGCACTCCACATTACTGGAATACAAAATGACAATAGAAAAACAGAGGTAATCCTAACTGCCAGTAAAGGAAATTTAGTACATCCAGTTTTATTTATGAAAAGCTGCATGAAAACTGTGCACAGTGTGACGAAATAGGTAACTGCTTCTTTTCAGCTACAGCAGCAATTTTTAGTTGTCTGAAATAAACTATCTTCTTGAAGGTGGTAAGTCCCTCTGTTCTCCATTAACCTGAAGACATTAACTGCTACAATCTGTTTATTATTTTTAAAAAGTAATTCTGAACTAACTGTTAAAATACAGTACTACTGGAAAATTTCCAAGCAAACACAGACACCTGTGGCTAAATCCCATGGCAGAATGCATGTGTATATGCAAATGAACATCATGAATTTAAGAGAATGAGAAAATAAATTTAAGTCCAAATTTAGTTTCTCCATTTTTATGCAGAAATAAATAATGAATGTCTAAGTTGACTTAAAATTCAGTGGAAGTAGAGATTACCCCTTAATGACAAAGGCAATCAAGACAGATGTGTATGCAAGACTTCGATACGGGTTTAATTCACTTTTTATAGATAATTAGTATTACAAGTGTAGCTGTAAAGATTTTTTTTTTAACTACATTTTACTAACTCATCTAGTACAGTTCTTAAACAGAAGCTACAATGTACACAACAAATGAAATAAAGGATTTATTTAAGAAGAATACATAAATGTGTGTGTAAAACCTCCTATTTGTTTTCTCATTCTGTAAATCACTAGAAGTTCTAATTCTATAATCCTCATGACAGGCTTGCCTTCGATGTTCAATTTAATAGAGGCCTTTCGGCTTTAAGGATTACCCTGTTAAGAATAAATGAGTGCAGTCAAAAAACAAGCTTTTAAAAATATAAGGTATTTAGGCAATTAAAAATGCAATTTAATTCATACCGATTCGGTGATTAAAGACTAAACAATGCTCAGTAATGGTATACTGTTAAAAGGTTTTAATGTGTTACGTACATAGAAGTTTTTCCAACTTGAAAAAATTTGTAGATTTAGTGGCTGAACATCTGCACGGTAAAAAGAAATTGCATTTCAATTTGTCTGTGAACAAGAACTATGGGATTTGCAGTCTTTGATCTCTCTGACATCATCAAGTGGATAAAGCTTTTTTTTTTTTTTTCCTAAATGGACAAAATTATTTTGCCTTCAGGTTACAACAGAAACATGTTTTGTCATCAACAGTAACATCGTATTAACAAGAGTTAATATTAGCACCTGCTGAGTTTTTTAGTGAACAGTCATTCAGATCATGTGCCAAATTCACTTCCTTGGCTCAATCAAGAAACACATCTCTGCTACTTTCATCTGTATTTTCAACAGCTAAGAGACACAATGGGTGACATGTAGTTCTGTTTGATCTTAGGAATCAATATATATACACACTTTAAAAATCAAGTTCTAAGCCTACTAATATAATAAGGAAAATAGGTGGGGTTTGAGTGCAGAAGTAACATCAACAGAACAAAAATCTCTCCTTAAATTAGTATCTCGATAACGCATTTAAAACATGCAAATAATATCAAAAGCCACTTCCAGATTTTTACTTTTCTTTTTTTACAGGTGCTTTTGGATTGAATTTTTAGATGTGAGGGTTAAAAGTGGCTGCCAATTTAAGGAAAAATTTCTGTATGTTTTAATGACTACAAGAGTAACATTTGATAATGACAGCTATAAAAAAAAAAAAAAAAAAAAAAAGAGCTTTCCATTGTTTTTTCTGAGATTATGTAACTTCTCATATCCTAGAAATCTTTTCCACCTTAACAGAGAAGGGGCTGGTAGACAATTAATAAATGCACACTAGTCCGCAATATTCAGACTAGGTCATCTTATACTATTTGCACTATGAACTAGTAGCAACATAATATTACTTACTACATAAAATACACATTGATCCAACTAGAATATTACAAAAGCTTTATTAAAACAGGGGGATGCTTCTTGTTGAGTCTTTCATTCACCACAAAAAGAGCAAGATGTATCCTACATATGCTAAAGCAAACCTCTCTCCTTTCAATTAAATTTCTTCTAGCATAACTTTATAGAATTATGGGGCTGCTCCTGTCCTTGATAAGAGATAATAACTGCTGAAACAGGGGTTCAGAATAGCAGTTGGATCGTAAGTACATATTAATCAAACGCAGCAACAAGTAAGAAGATTTACCTTTAGTAAATTACTACAGCAGGCTCCCTGAACTTCACCACTTTTTCTGCCATATTTATGTTTTCACAGAGCACTTAACACTTAGGCAATCATGAATGCTCTAGTACACACATCAGAATAGCTGCTACTGCTTGCCAGGCTTAATACAGCACAGGAATTCTAATGTTGATCTCTCTTATTTGGACAAAATTAAGTCCTCTGCCTTTTGCCAAAGGTTGTCTACAAATCATTTCTTCCTTCAGTAACATCATACACTGCAATATAACATGTAGAAAGATAATCTGTTTTTAAGGATTTGCAATTACTATACAAGCATTAGCTTTTTAACTATGACCAGAAAGGTTTGAATTTATGCTTTCTTTTACTTACCGTGTTTTAATAAACTTGTTACACAGTAACAGAATTCTGTGTATGAAATAACCAGCTCTATATTAAGAATATTTGTTTTACAAAAGCTATCACTTAGCCCAGATCAATACCACTTTTTTCTTTTCTTTTTTTAGATCATATAACCCTAAGTACTACATCTACTAAACAGACAATTAATTTTAAGATTGTTCAGGGATGACCAAAAAAAGAAAAAAAAAAAAAAAAAAAAAAAAAA